ATTGGTATTTCCTAAAAATGAAAGAAGAAAAATATGGGTAAATAATTGCCGAAGAGACAATTGGAAACCTGGTCCAGGCGCTGAACTTTGCTTAGTAAGTATAATGTTAATTACGCCTTCATTTAGAGTTTATATCTTCTCTGATGTTATAATGTGCAAGTAAAGTGAAATTCTTGTGTACAATAACCTGAGTATCTGCTAATTTCTGTAATAATAGCTATAATTAAATTAGACTAGGGTTAATGTACCCGTCGCCAAACATCGCCAATGTAGATGTTTTTGAATGTGGAAAAGAAAAGAAATTTCTCTTCTAATATAAAGCGCGGATTTTGTTTTCCTGTGCTAATTGTGGAATTTATACTAATGTAACATGAAAATCATATTAGCATATTGAAATTTATTAAGAAATAAATAATAATTTGGAAAGTCAAGATAAAATCTGAATGTTTGCTAAAGATATATGTAATATTATACTATAGTTGCAATATCGTTGCAATGATATATAATTTTTTTCTTTATTTTATAATCACTATTGTTAAAAAGTTAGATGAGTTGTTATGCACGGTGCCCACTACTGTTTCTTGGTTAAAATAACTTCCAGAATTTTGACATTGACATCTGAAGTCAATAGAATAAATTGAATAGTGTGAGACAAAATATATATAATCTGACTTCAATAATTGCAAGGATTGTGCAAGTTTATTTATAATCACAGTATTATACAATTTGGCAATGGAGTAAAGATTTAGAAATGAATGCAGAACATTCAAATTAGTATTTTCTTGTTTCTAATATATAGAAATATAGTCTATTTTCCAGTATAAAAGTTTTACTTAAAAGTATAGGAAAGCAGATTTGTTTCATGCATGATCTTTATAATACTGGTATGAAATGAATGAATTTTAATCTGTAAACAATTTTTTGTTAATATTGAAATGTGTTTCTTTGGGTACATTTTTTAGGCACTTGTGGATCATGTCAGACAACATGCAATAGAAAAAAGATGTCCATCGTGCATAAATTTTTCCATTTTGTTATATTATAGTACTGGATGATTGTGCTGTTTCAGTGAATCTTCATGAATATGTGTCAGAATGTGTATCCTGTATATTATGTGTATCCTGTTTTTGAAGAATAATCGTTTTATTCATTTTAGTAATGCATGAATAAAAGATGGTATGTGTTTCTTCATTTTATCTAAATTTCAAGGATAATTCTTTTCATTTTATATCGGCATGTTATTTATCAGTATAAAGGCTAGTGAAAATAAATTGGTATGTGTATCTGTTTTTGAAGTGTAATGCTTAGATAAAAAGATGGTGTGTGTTTCTTCATTTAAACAAAATTTCAAGGATAGTATTTTTCAGTGTTGTACTGTTTGTTATTTCTCAATGTAAAGGGTAACAAGGGGAAAAAAGAACTGGTATGGTATATCTGTTTTTTAAGCATGATAATTTTATTTATTTCTTTAGTGATGCATATATAGAGAGAGAAGGTGTTTGGTCCAACTGAAATTATAATAAATCTAATTTTACTAGATCTCTCCCTCCCCTCAGGTGTAGAAAATTTTCAAGTGCAGAAAGTTTATTTGCAGAATTAATTCATTTCTGATAAACTTATTATCATTAATTTTTTATATAACATGTTATTAAGTTACACATTTAACTACTGTGTAATAAAATTGTATTTAGGGCAAAAAATTAACTATAATTTTGCATCTGGTGACTAATATCATATGCTTTTAGGAATATTACCTTTAACTTTTTCCATAATTTTGTATTTCAGGAACATAAAACTGTTATTTTGATATACTTAAATAATAAAAGTGTGTATCTGAATCAATTAATGGATACAAATATTTTACAGTTATTTTCAGAAGATATTTGCCATATCGCTTCTAATAATTCATAAAGTATGTTAAAATATAGGTAAATAATTTTGGTGCAGAATTCAAATTTAGGAGGGAATTTAAAATATAGTAGAAAATATAATCATAAGACTAAATGATTTTTATTGTCATATGATTTGCCTGGCCTTAAGAATGTACTTTTCGCCCGGTGGAAATTGTCATCAAACTGTCCTGAACAGGCTTTTTGTTGATAATAACTTCCAGGCTTATCAGTACCTCCTTTTGAGTGAAGTGTATGCAAATATAGTACCCAATTTAAATTACATTGTGATTGTAATAATATTGTGGTATTAAATAAGTGATTATAATTACAATTTAGGTAATTGCATTGTAATTATATTACATTGTATCTGTGAACTCTTAATTTCATTACTTTATGCAATTATGTTGTAAGTGCATAATCTAATTGCAATAATATAATCTATTCGCAATTACAAAATAATTATAAACGCAGTTACATCTTAAATAGAGGCCATTTTAATACTTTTAAATTTTCGCAAGATAACTTCCCATTAAGGTTCATTTGGAGGAAAACTATGCAAATACTAAAAAAGAAGTTATGCTAAATTTACATATTTTGTACAGTACTTTCTTGTTATAATGCTGTTCAATATATCTTCAATACTTTTGTAAATTTAACGACATTCTTTGCAATCACTGTGGTGCTTAAAATAAAAAGAAGTTTCTTAGTTATGCTTTCTAATAAGAATGGGTTTAAAATTAAGTATTATGTATAATAACTAGCAGTTAAAAAAACTTGACTGCATGAAATGCTGTTGCTGTGTAAAATAAAAAAAAATAGCTTTCTTTTATGCTTTGAAATGAATTACATGTGGTTAAGTCGTCCTTTTACAATTTAAGAATGTGGTTAACACACATTCTTAAATTGGAACAGGTTTTTATCTAAATTATTAGTATAAAATATATAAACTATGAATTATTTTGTAACATAACTCAAATTACAAAATTCATTCTTATGTACGTTCAAATTTATTATCTTTTATGGAATAACTGTTTTTTAATTTAGGTAAAAATTGGATTTTTAGAAGTATTACAAATACAATGCAACACAAAGGTGATCTGATTGGAAGGAGGAAGGACTTTTTATTACGGTTTCTAGTTCGTATTTATATTACATTTGGATGAAAAGCATCCAAAACACAGAATGCTGTACTTTCTTCTTCCATATATGTTATGAAATATTTCACACATTTAAAAGAAAGTGTTTCTTCAGAATCTTGCACAATTGTTTCCATATACCTCAGACTTAAATGACAACATATTCTTAAGTTATTTTTTTAGTATGAATTTACAGTGTTTTTATGGAAATTTTTGTTAAAATGTCATTAAGATAAATTTATTTGCACACTCTATGCTTTAACTATTTTCCTATTTGACACTATTGAAAGTTTTTATTCATATCTTATTTATTTTAGTCTGCTAACGAAACTGAAACATCTAAAGAATAAGTTATTTTGAATATGTTTACAAAATATACGCGAAATTTTTATTTAAGTGAAAACGTCTATATACTATTCGAGAATTAATAAATCATCCGAAAAGTTTATATGCGCTGAATGCCGCGCGTAAAATAAATCTTTAAAGAAACAGCAGACATTCAGCCAACGTGTGCGATAAACGCGCCAAAATTGGCAGCGCGTTCACTCCCTCGCCAAGAGAGAAAAGTTGGTGATTCAGCCTGGTTTAGAGGAGCCTTAATCAGAAGGGTACGGCGCAGAGTCTAGCTTCTCGTAATGAAACTCCACCCAACAAGCGGCGTCCATGTTTGTAACTTCAAAACATTGCATTACGGCTGTGGAAACGTACGTGTTTTTAAGCTGTTCCGTGCATGCATTTTCCAGTAAAAATAGGTCAAATTTCTAATGAAATGCTTCGCTATTGTTAGTTTTTTGTTTTAAAGTTATAAAGATGATATCCGTAATTTACTACGTACAGAAAATCATTAAGAAATAGTTCGAAATCTAAATGCATGTGCATAACATGAAAGCCTTTAAAAATTATGTTTCTGCATGTTTCAAGAATTTGTTTAGGTTTTATTAGAAACCTGTTGGATGTACTTTCCAATTTTTCCTTTAAGAAGTGATATTTATGATTTATTCACAATATTATAATTTATTAAAGAATCATTTAAAATAATTTTAACCTGAAATTAATAGCAGAGAATTATCTAAATAAATAGTCACAGGTTGCATTTTTTTTTAAATGAAAGTTCTAAATAGATTCTTTTCACAACCAACAACCTTATAACAACAAGAAAATAAATATTAATAAAATAAAACAGATTTATGTGAATTCAGTGATTTCAGTTTATGCGCGTTTCATATTTATGAATCTCAAAGAAATTGCCTTGAATTAAGCTTAATTACAGAAATATACCTATATAAATTTTTGGATACATCTTTCCACATGTTCAGTTGTGTAAATATTTTACTTACTTTTATCGCTATACTGCCCACAAATTTGTAAGTTTATGCAAAAAATATTTAACAAGAGAACAGTTAGTTTATCTTGATCGAATGTACAAATTATATTCCTAACAGTTCACAAAACTTAAAAATTAATAATAATTAATACATAAAGAAAAGCATTACTTTATTTAACACCTTTACAATTCATAAAAACAGTAACAATTGATTTCTTATTTTTAAAGAAAATTATAAAACAATTTACCTAAAATGTTCAAATTATAGAGTTTAAATCCTAGCGTATATCATTCCATGTTAAAGAACGAAGATACCAGCTATAAACAGAAACATTAAAAATGTATTTAAGGTATTTTGATTATTACTAAGTATTTTTTTTTCACATCTGGAAAGAAACCAACATGACATTGTGATATTTTTTAACATATTTATCAAATTACATAGAAAAAGAAAATTAATCCTTACGAATGAAAAGTAATCTTAGGAATCTTTTTCGAAAATCTGTTTGTGCATCCATATGCAACACAAGTTGACATGCTTCAAAAAGAAAAGGAAAAAAAATATTGCAATTACAGACTTTTTGCACAAGTCACAGCGATAACAGGAACATGGCCGCCAAGCTTCACCGTTTGAGTTGAACCTTCCCTCCTTCTGTTCTAACCTCCTTGGGAAAAACACAGTGGAGCTTCCTTCATTTAACGTAGGCCCTTTCTATATACCTTTCCTTCGCACATAGTATGCTTGATTTTTCGCCCATCGGTGCAGAAAGACCTAGCGGTTGCAACAAAAGACATCTGTCTTTTTGTCTGTCTGTCTGTCGTGTTGTTGGATTGTAGGATTGGAAATATTCAAAAATAGTCGTATATCCCGTATATCATGTAAGCAGTGAATGAGCACTTTTTGTTACAAATTAGTTGAAAGTTTTCATTCTCTACAGCAGGGTACTTTTTCTTATTGTGTATGGTGAAGTATGGATTGTGTTTAACTGTCTAAAATAAAATAAGCAGCTTCTTCAAACTCTTTAAGCACTGCCTGACAACTCTAGAATTAAAACTACATGTAGTCGAACTGTAGCATACATGATGTAATAATTCTGATCATTCATTATTAAAGATTTATATATGCTCCGGACAAAAATTATGTTTGGTTTAACTGTAATAAACTTATTTTTCATGAACTTTGATAGATATGGTATATGTGTATCAAAAGTACATGTGTCTCAGGCAAAATATGTATTATCACTTTTATGACGATAATCAAATGTATATTAGCCTAAGATATTGAAAGCCACCCTGTGGTTACAGAAATTTCCATACAAAATAGAACAACATCCTGAAGTATGTATCTAGCACATGGATATCCACATGGCAGAGAAGTTAATGTGTGTGAGATATGTAACAAGTCATTTACCAAAGTGTGTAATTTAAAAGTACATATGCTTATTCACACAGAGAAACGTTACGTGTGTGAGCTGTGTAATAAGTCATTTACACACAACTGTCATTTAAACAGGCATAAGCTTATTCACACAGGCCAGAAACCTCATGTGTGTGAGGTCTGTCCAAAGTCATTCAGACAAAAAGATAGATTAATCAAACATCTTCTCATTCACACAGGAGAAAAACCATATCTATGTGAGGTGTGTAACATGTCATTTACAGAAAAAAGTAGTTTAAACAGGCATATGCTTATTCACAGTGGAGAGAAATCTTGTGTATGTAAGATTTGCAACAAGGCATTTAGACTAAAGGGCGATTTAAATCAGCATATGCTCATTCATACAGGTGAGAAACCTCATGTGTGCGATATATGTGACCGGTCATTTACACAAAAGTGCCAGTTAAACAAACATCTGCTTATTCACACAGGAGTGAAATTTTACATGTGTGAGATTTGTAACAAGGCACTTAGACTAAAGGGGGATTTAAATAAACATATGCGTATTCACACAGGAGAGAAACCTCATGTGTGTGAGATATGTTTTAAATCATTCACACAAAAAGATGCATTAAAAAAACATCTACTCATTCACACAGGAGAAAAACCTCATGCGTGTGAGGCATGTAACAAATCATTTAGATTAAGATGTGAGTTAAATAAACATATGCTTATTCACAACGGTGAGAAACCTTATGTGTGTGATGTATGTGACAAGCCATTTACACAAAAGTATGATTTAAACAAGCATTTGCTTATTCACACAGAAGAGAAACTGTACATATGTGAGATCTGTAACAAGGCATTTAAACAAAAGTGTAGTTTAAACAGGCATAAGTTCATCCACACAGGAGAGAAGCCACATGTATGCGAGTTGTGTAACATGTCATTTATAGAAAAAAGTAATTTAAACAGGCATATGCTTATTCACAGTGGAGAGAAATCTTATGTATGTAAGATTTGCAACAAGGCATTTAGACTAAAGGGAGATTTAAATCAGCATATGCTCATTCATACAGGTGAGAAACCTCATGTGTGTGAGGTGTGTAACATGTCATTTGCAGAAAAGGGTCGTTTAAACAAGCATGTACGTATTCACACAGGAGAAAAACCTCATGTGTGTAAGGCATGTAAAAAGTCATTTAGACGAAAAAAGGATTTAAACCAACATATGCTCATACACACTGGAGAGAAACCTCATGTGTGTGAGGTTTGTAATAAGTCATTTAGACTAAAGCAAGTTTTAAGTGAACATATTCTCACTCACACAGGAGAGAAACCTTATCTGTGTCCAGTTTGTAACAAGACATTTAGACAAAAGGGAACTTTAAATAAACATGCGCTTATCCATGCAAGAGAGAAACCTCGCATTTAATCAGCCAATGTTCTGTGCAGTATAGACTAAACTAGCTCAAGAAACATCATTATGTAAGGTCTGTAACTTGTCATTTTGTTTAAATTCTTAATAAACCATTTCGTTGTTTCTGTTCATACATATGCAAGATAAATCAAAATTGATGACTTGAAGCAACATTTACTTGGTATTTTAAAAGTTGCCTTATGAAAGAAAGGTTCTAAAAAAGTTCTTAATTCTAAAAAAAACCTCTTTATCATCAAATATGTACTTCCTTATCACATTGCTTTATCAATAATTGTTCCTTTTCCTGCTCACTTCCTAAGAACGGCATCAATTTTAGGAGTTCTTGCTGCTATTGCTGCTTATTTAAATTCATCAGTGAGATTTGTAACTAAGTGAAGTAACTAAATGAATCAGTTTAGTCACTTAATAGCAAATATCACATCCATCCTCCTCCCTTATATTATTTATTAATAGGTCAGTAAAATAGAAAATAACTATTTATTAATGTATACAGTCCATAAATAAAAATAATAACTCAGCTTGTCATTAATTTTTTTCAATTCATTTTAATTTAATTTCAAATTCAAACTGTCCATGGAATCGGAGTCGAACTGTTTTTAGCGAACAGCTCCAACTCCTTTTACCCCAAAATCTGCCCGATTCCAACTCCATGACTCTGACTCCTACTCCACAACCCTGGAGAGTATATCTGAATCCTTCCTTATTAATGCAACTTGAGAGATAAATAGAATATAACCAGATTTTGCACTTTACTATCACACTTCTGATTTTAATTCAAGGGACATGATCTATTTTGGAATTATATCCAATGGATTTTTGAAATATGACTGTAATAGAAATAACTAGGTTTTCCCAGATCATTTTAAAATTTATTTCATGGAATTCATTGAAGTAATACTGCATGTGTTTTAGTTTGCATATTTTATTTAATAAATTTAAGTATGTAATTTTTTTCATTATAGCCATAAATGTGTTTTAATTATTATTTACCATCTTAAAACCTAGATAAAAAAATTGCTGAAATTAATGAGATATTTGATTATCAGAATTCTAAAATTTTGAATGTTAAATGTTTGAAATTGCATATTTTAAATAGTTAATTTTGATGCAGTGTGTGATCTACCACTAACATTATTTTATTATCATTCGTTTTCATTATACATGGAGCTTTCTGATATGCATTTTATAACGAGGACGTGGATGGAAATGGAGCAACTTCTGAAAGGATTCATTCTGGAATCTTTCTCCGTACCATCTTTAAGTAATTGCTCTGTTTCAAGTAATTGCCGCAACTCCATAGATAAAATGCATATAGCCGAATTTCATATTCATGTAAGCATATATACCGAGTAAAATGCTTACCGCTCAACAGAGGCCTGTCAAAGAGTTGTTTCAGCACAAACATTCCATCACCAGATCTGTTTATTTTGATGCCCTCTGTCTGCCCTACATTTTTTCCTGGTATTTTTCAATCACTTTGTACATGTGCATGTGTATAAAATAAAAATTTAATTTTAATTTCAGACCCCTTAATTTTAATTTGGAAACTCTTCCTTTCTTTCCATTTTATATGCCAAGTTCTATTTCATTTCAACTAAAATTTAATGCATAAACATAACTGCTGCCCTCTTTAAGAAAATTGCTGCATACATCTCTCTAACCCACTAATCTAGAAATCCGTCCCTACTGCCAACAACGGGATAATAATAATAAAAAAAAAAAAAAAAAAAAAAAAAAAAAAACTGCCAAAATTTGGTAAATTACTTTAGAAGTTCCAAAAATTGTTTATTTAAAATATTATTTTCTGATCGATCTAATGACGTGAAGATCAAAACTCTGCGATGGTTAAAACAAGGATATGAGATAATACATAAGCTCTAAATAAAAACAGACCTGCTTCTAATTTTGAAACATTTCTTTGGAATAGTGTACAGTTAGAGATAATATGTGGAAAGTTTCATTAAAAGAATAAAAGATTTATTTCATGATTTAATCCAAACAAAGAAACCTAGTAAAACATAGTATTGCTAAAAAAATCAACATGAAATTTTACATTTTGATATGATTCGCTAAATATTTTCATGGAATTTTGACTCATCTGGAACTAGTCTGTAATTTCTTTATATATTTAGATCCCTCAGTGACCAAGTAGATAAGACAAGATTTTAGCTAATTTGATCTGTTTGGAATCCTGAAGCAGGCGTGCTTTTATGGTTCTTCCCACGCATAATGTAAATGGGAACTATCGTCCTTTAGAAAGACATCCTTTCCCAAGGAAGAAAGCCCTTGTGTGCTTTCAACTAAAATTTACAGGGTGTCCATAATTAAACTTGAAATTTGCGAGCAGTCTGTAGCAAAAACTATGCAGCAGAATTACATGAAAATTGGGTTATAGCAGAATGGACATGCTAGGAATTTTATCAAGGAGAAAAAAAAAAAAAAGAGTTTCAAAAGCCACCACTAGATGGTGTTGTGCAATGTAAACTATTGGCATAAGCAAATGTCATAACCATAATAATCCTGTACGCGCACTGCAACCCTATAAAGATGCGAGAGGTGAACTGCAGTCATACTCATTTCCAAGTCAAGGAAAATGACGTTAACTCTCCAGGAAAACCGCCTTACTGAGGAAATTGTTTTACCAAAATGGAGACTCTGCTACCAAAGCTTTGTGAAAATTTCGATCTTTGAAGTGGTTACAAAAAGGTCCACTCACTAGTCAAGGACTAACAAACATGATTAGGAAATTTGAAGCAACGGGGAACATTGGGGATTCAGTCAGGAAGGGGACGAAAGTGTGTTGCAGCACTAGTAGTGGATGATGTAGCGATGCAAGTGGAGAAAGCTTGCAAACCATCGGCAGCACTAGTGTTCGGCATATTGCAGCATCTGTTGACCAGCCTCGTTCCACGGTTCATAAGATTCCTCAAAAGGTCTTATGCTGTTATCCCTATAAACTGTTGCTAGTGCATCAGCTTTTACCAGTTCATCTGGATAGCTGACAAAACTTTTGCGTTGCAGTTTCTTGCGCGAATTGAGATCCAGGATGAATGGCCATGGAACATTTTGTGGATCGACGAGGCCCACTTTCATATGGAAGGTGCGGTTAACACTCACAATTGCCGTATTTCGGCTGCTACAAATCCACATCAATTCCTACAAATTCCATAACACTCTTGGCATGTAATGGTTTGGTGCTTCTTTACTGCAACCTTCATTGTGAATCCGTTTGTTTCTCCGAGAAGAACAGTGCCACAGGGCCTGTGACATGCACCATTACAGGCCTACAATACGCTTCGTTATTAGAGCAATCCATTATTCCAGCACTTCAGGCAAGGTGATGTGATATAACCACAGTGTTTATGCAGGATGGTGCTCCTCTACACATTGCCCGTTGTGTGAAACAAATGCTTCGGTGATGACAGAATCATCAGCTGGCAATTTCCTATTGGCTACTGGCCTCCTACATCCCCCGACTTGAATCCTTGCGACATTTGGCTGTGGAGATATCTCGAGGCCATGATCACATTTCTATCCGATCTTAAAGAAAGCATAGAATGTCATGTGCGTAACATTGCCCAGTTCATGCTGCTTTCAACAGTCTAACATGCGATTTTACGCTTCCAGATGTGGTAGCAGACAATGGTGGACATCATATTGAGCATGATTTGTAAACTTTTGTAGATTATTTATATGTTTTCAATAAAGCTATGATACGCCACCTAGGGGTGGTTTTTGAAACTTGTTTTTCCCCCCTCGATAAAATTTCCATCCTTTCATTCTGCCATTAACCAATTTTCATGCAATTCTGCTGTATAGTTATTGCTACAGACTGCTCGCAAATTTTAAGTTCTAAGCAACTTAAGCAAATTTTAAGACACCCTGTAAATATAAAAATCCATTCTCTTAATATGCTTCATTATATTTTTTATATGAATGAGTTTTGCATAATTTTTTTCAGCATTACTCTCTACCATGTAAAATTAAAATTTGGTGCACTTGTATTTTTATTTTTGAAGTTTCAATATTTTGCTGCAATTTGTCTACCTCTGTTTATTTATGTTTCTATAACAGTTAATTAATTACCTAATCCAGATGGAACACCGGTTTCACATAATAATATGATTAATAAAAGCAGAGGTTGCAAGATTGTTCATGCGCTAACTTTAATACATTAGTTAATTCTTTTTTTGTCAGAATACTGACTGTTGATCCAAATCAGCCATTATTTTATTTTTATGAAAAATAATGTTATCATATCGTATTAATTTTCACTGATGTATTTCAAATTAATTAAAGTTTCCCTAAAATAGAAAAAAATCATTCATTCCTTATTAAATTTCTTAAACATCGTTGAGATAAGCGGAAATCTTTTGAATATTATAAATAGTCGCTGAAAGTTTTAATTGTATGCATCATCAATTTTTTTTTCCATTTCGAATTCTGCAACCATGGATCTGATATAAATGTTATCTGTACCATGTTTATATTACCTTCTGCTGAAACTTAATTATGAAGAAATATGAATATACTACTATGTGTGGACTACATTAAGAGATATTTAAGGCTTGTGAAAGAACATCGGAAATCAACAGATGTTTTATGTCAGGAGATTGTGTCGTCCTCCAGCTCAAAATATAGCCATTGAATTGCAAATACCGAGGATTATTAGTGCAACAACATTTTTGAAGTGCTATAAAATCTAAAATAAAGAAATTTTAGAAAAGATCTCTAATAATTATTCATCCTTTTTTTTTATGTTATCACTAGAGGGGGTAAAGATTTTCCAGTGGCAATTTATCAGCATTATTTTACTGCTGTCTATGATGTATGTGAAAGATGCCAACAAAATGTTTAGCATAAAACGGCAGTGTTTCGTGATTTTTAAGCTTTGGAAAATTTTGAGAGCGAGACAGAACTTTGGCACGATTTTTCGATATTAAGTAAAGACGGAAAACATGAAGCCTCCAGTGGAACAGTGTCTGAGCACCAGGGTACCTGGGCCGAAGGCCCTACCCCTTGTAGAATAAATTAGACGTTTCGATTTGTGTTACACAATAACCTGAGTGTAAACCTCGAACTGTACTATCCAATATTAATTAAGCTAACCGA